CAGCTTGAGCCGGGACTGATAAAGACATTCCTTTGCAAGCTTCATTTGGCTTTCGTTTCTGAACGAACAAGGTGGGGGTCAGAACAGTTGCCCTAATAAAGAGCTGTTGCTTGTCACTGAAGACTGAATCTGTCTCATCATTCACCCGATCTAACAATTGTGGCCAAAAGAGAAGAGGGTAGACTTTAGTTCAGCATTCAATACCATCATACCAGACATTCTTCTGACTAAACTAAATCAGCTAGCAGTACCTGAACACACTTGTAAGTGGATCACAAGCTTCCTAACAGACAGGAAGCAGCAGGTGAAGCTAGGCAAAATCACATCAGATACCTGTACAATTAGCACAGGCACCCCTCAGGGCTGTGTGCTCTCTCTACTTCTCTTCTCTCTCTATTCCAATGACTGTTAGAAAATTCAAAAACACTAAAAATAGAAATACAAACATGCAACCACAATTCTGCTTTGAATCAAAAAGTTTATTTTTTCATGGTTAGTTCAAACATGAAAAATGCCAGAGATTTGCATTAGTACTTCAGTAAGACTGTACTTTTAGTTACGAGTTGCAACAAGGGTCAGAGATGGCAGCTATGTCCAGTGAGGAGCAGCTACCATCAATGGCACTTACCTGATCTCAACCCATCATTTTAATACCTTTTTGTCATCTCCCTTGTTCCTACTTGGAATATTACTAGAATTAACTTCCTCTTTTTACAAGGTCCTCCCCTTACTGCACTTTAATGTGTCCAGCTGAGATTTCCTGTCCCTGTACTTTCACTTCCTCATTCACTTGATGTTCCAGACAGTCTATTTTTGAATTCTTTAAAAACTGATTATATTGCATTTTATAAAACTTTCACAATAAGGGTTACACTTTTATATGCAAGCTACAATATGCCAATTTATAAATCTCCTAAGAAAGGCACAGGCCTACAAGAGCATAAATACAAATTCAAGCAATATAGATACAGTTCTTCTCACAACTTCATCTCAAATGATCCATCTGTTAAACTACTGAAGCTTGCAGATGATACAACAGTGATTGGTCTCATTCGAGACAACAATGAAACCGTATACAGATGGGAGGTTGAACATCTAGCCCCATGGTGCGACCGGAACAATCTGGAACTGAAAACACTCAAAACCGTAGAAAAGGTGGTAGACTTTAGGAGAAACCCTACCATACTACGACCTCTTACAATACTAGACAACACAGTATCAACAGTAGACCTTCAAATTTCTAGGTTCTATAATATCTCAAGACCTAAAATGGACACCTAACATCAAAAACATCATCAAAAAAGCACAACAAAGAATGTTTTTTCTGTGCCAACTCAGGAAGCTTAAACTGCCCAAGGAGCTGCTGATACAGTTCTACAGGGGAAGTATTGANAATTATAAAATGACAATGTCCACTGCATATAGAGAAAACTTGTATAAGATGTTTTACAGGTGGCATCTACCCCCAGCCAGAATTGCAAGAATGTCACCAAAGAGAAAATTAAGGCCAGCTGAGTTGCAGCAAACCCAGGAGTCAGCTCGTTGCAAGACATGCTAAGGTGTCATATCCAGCCCCCACCTTGACAACTAAGAGCATATTTTTAAAGCAGGTTTTATCTTGGAATATTTTTGTGAGTAGAAATCCACAGGGGATAGATTGAGAATTATTGTTCTTCTGATCATTGCAAGGAACAGCAATTGCCCTACCTACATAACATTAGATTTTCTTTGTACACCAGACAGGAGAAAAAAAAAATTATGCCTCTTGTAGTCCATAGAGCAAATGGACTTGAGAGTTAAGGTGATGTTGGTTATTTGAGCTACATGAAAGTGAGCTCCTGCATACTGTCAGGTCTGGCAGGTTCAACTTGCCACCTCAAAGGCATCCAGTCATCAAAGGCTAGAAGGGGAGTGAAAGGACAGATGGACAATAAAGCAGTGTGTGTACATGGTGGGAAATAGGGAGAGGGGAACGACAGGTGATAAAGACCAGAGAAGCTCAGAACCAGTTTGTACCAGCATCCAAGGGTAGGCACCCTGAGAAAGATTACTCCAAAACATTTCATCTTTCGCAAAACACCTCAACAAATTATGATTGGTGGAACACAAACTGGTCATGGGGCGAGGGCTGGGATGAGGGAAATTTTTTCTGTATCTTTTGCATGGGGGAAACCTAGATCTAGACTTTGCTGCCACCAACATCTTTTAGTAAAAGAACCTTTCACTTCAACCAAATGGAGTCAAGGATCTTTCTTTCCTAAGGGACCAGACTGGGGCAGGTCTGACACAAACAAGATCAGGATTGGCCTGTGCCATAGTTTGTTTGGATAGCAGGAATGCTAATAGGGTGTGGTGGTACATGAGAATCAGTTGCACCCTAATAAGTGTGAACAATCAAACCAACGCTTGGATGAAATAACTGGTTTGTTCATAGACACAAGACAGGTGATGAATTCAGAAATTAAGTTATCCAATAGATCTTAAAAATAGAAAAGGGGATCCCTGAAGATGTTAAGCAGATTTAAATTGTAAGGGAATATTGCTTAATAACCAGTTGAAGCCAGAAAACATTGTGTGTTGTGTTTTTCTTTCATTTATTTGAACCATCTTGTCCAAATATTGTTGTTACATACTGACAGCCAGTATGGTAGGTTCCACCAAGGTCCTCCGATCAGGCAGGAAAATACTAAAAGCCAAGTGGCTGAGCCGTTTGACAGCTCTCTATAAAAGGGCTAGCTGGATTGTACATAGTTGTCTGTTGTGGCTGGGCTGGAGCCNCCGCCCCTCCACCATCACCACCCCCCGGCCCCTTCACGGTCTCTCCTGCGGGCAATGCAACCTCTGAGCGCGTGCAGAGCGCCCCCCGAGGCCCCTTTCGCCGCCTCCCCTCCAGCAATGCAGCCCCTGAGCGCGTGCAGAGCGCCGCTCGGCCCCCCTTTTCCCCTTTGCGGGCCATTCACTCACAGGCTTGCACCAGATCCGAGAAGCGCGCCTTCTGCGCCCGGTCGCGCTGCTGCAGCTGCCCGACGATGTGGCTCTTCCAGCGGCGGCGGCGGCACAAGCCTCCCTCGGCCATGGCCGCCTCTGGCGCTGCCCGGAGGTCCGAGCGGGCCCGGGACGGGGAGGAGAGGCGGAGGAAGAGGGAACTCCCCGTGACGTCATCGGGAGAGGGGAGTGGCCAGAACGGGGAAACCCCAGCGCTCGCCGCCTTCGCCAACCTGGCGCCCGCTGCACCTCTCCGCCCCTCTGCAGCTCGTGGGGTGCGTGTGTGTGTGTGTGTGTGTATGTGTGTGTTCCCCCCCCTCGGTCCACGAAGCGGGGGCCACTTTTGGGGAGGGGGGGCGAAATGCTGGCCGCCCCCTGCCCCGGCATCCGTGAGCCCCGCGGGCGCCCAGAAGGGAGTCTCTACCTGTAACCCCCCCCCCCCCCCCGCCCCTCCCCGCTTCCTTTCGGTCCCTGGGCTCGGCCCTCGGCTTCGCCCCGAGCAGGAGCCGTCATAAATGCGAGTCAGTTGTCAAGATTTTCCTTGCCGCGATCGTTTGGTCAACAGATCCCGCGTCTTCTGATTTGCAAACGAAACGCATCGATAGAAGAGAAGCTTTGGGGCTCAGGGGTGAAATGTGGGGGTCCTTGGTGCTCTCTGAGCTGGCTGGTTTTCTTGGAGACGTTTCACGACCCAACTAGGCAACATCATCAGTGCTAGAAGGGAGTGGGGTTTATGAAGTGAGCAAAAGGAGGAGGACTGTGGGATCCTGGGTGCCTTCTGAGCTAGGTGGCTTTCTTGAAGACGTTTCGCGACCCAACTAGGGAACATCATTAGTGCTGGAGGAGGAGGAGAAGGAGATCTATGGGCCCTTGGTCTGCAGTGGGCTTGGTAGTTTTCTTGAAGATGACCCAAATAGAGAAGTTATCAGTGCTGAAAGGGAGTGAGGTTTGCAGAGAGGAGGAGGAGGAGGAGGAGGAGGAGGAGGAGNGACAAAAATATTGACAATCATGCTTAAATTTGTGGTGATACACTGTGTGGCACAGTTTGCAGAAGTAACATACACCCATGAAGCCTTTGATGTTTTTTACCCCATAGTAATGACTGTCTTGCAACAACATAAACACCACTCTTACTTCCAGGGTCCCTCCAGTTACAAAAAACCTCAAAACCCCTTCATGATAAAACACGATCTTTATAGTTATACTGAAGTAGTCATCAAATAAGTGTATGTGTGAAAAATCAATGCTGTGGGGTGGAGAAATCCCGAGAGTGTTATGGAGGTTCATGGCTCTGGTAATAATTTCTTGTTTAGTAGACACTCCGTTATCTAACAATGACAGCAGGCTGCCTGCAAAACACAGAAATAGACCCTCCACATTGAAATCAATCAGGCGATGGCTTTTCTTCTCCAAAATCTTACTGAATAGAACTGTTCCTAATTTCCTAAGACACCCCCCCTTTCGTGCTTCTTCACAATCGTGACTGTTAATTCCAAAGAATTCCTCCACAAGAGCTCAACATTGCTTTGTAATAAACTTGCTACATAACTAAGGAACTGGTCAGCATTTAAATCCTCCAGATGCCTCCTAACACTAAATAAGGGCCTCCCTAATTCCTCGGCATCCATCCGCAATTGTATAAAATCATTGGGTCTTATCTCCCTGGAAATACAGTTCAAAAGGTTCTGTATCTCATTATGAATAATGTCTATAGCCTGTGTGAATGATCAAACATGTTCCATATTTACAAATTGATAATGTTCATAGTACTCTATTGCTCTGTAATGCTGCACAACCTTCTGCCATGATTTTTTTAATGTAATTTTTTTATTTTTCCAAAACCACTCTTACATCATTAATCTTACAGTGTGTCATCTGGGTACAATTTTTGTGTCATCATATATAACATTTGCATAATTTTTACTATATTCTTATCTTTCCATTTACCTTTCCATTTCAATTGTCTTTTAATTCAACTCCTCCCCTATAATTCTGTTTTCTTTCCCAATTTATTCAATTTACTATTTGTTTTTGCCTCTATTCATTTTCTATCCAATTGTAAAAACATCCCCATATCTTATAATACTCCAATTCTTCCTTCCCTTTAATCCCCAATGTTAATCTGTTCATTTCTGCACAGTCTAATATTTTTTTAATTACCTCTCCCTCTGAGGGAATTTTTTCTACTTTCCAATTTTGTGCAAATACAATTCTAGCCGCAGTTATTACATGAATAATGAAATATATATTTTCTTTACTAGATTTCTCTGGTAAAATAACCAACAAAAACAGTTCTGGCTTTAAATCAATATGCTGCTATATCATCCTTTCCAACCACATGCAAATTTTAATAAAGTTTGGATGGATCAATGCTTCCATTGTCGAAAGCTACATTGGAATCTCCAAATAATGTTTTACTCTCACTCTTTCCAAAACTAATAATAGAGCGTTTCTTACATAATGCCTTTGAAAATATCTATGTATCTTGTTTTTCCCATACCACAAAAACACATGCCAACCTAGTTGTAGCAATAGCAATAGCAATAGCAGTA